GAGACACTAGAACAAGCGGATAAGTCACTGATGTCTATTCTTCACTTACCGGGTATTTAGTAGTTTGGCAGAATGGTGAATGATGCTGTGAAAAGGAAGGTAATCAGAAAAATAAAAGAAGTGAGGTCTTTTTGAAGTTTTTTTAGTTTTCTTTATGGATGCTATTTTCTTTTCTGGAGCGAGGTCTTTTTTACTTGTAAGAGCAAAATAATGGTTAATAAATTATTACTTGACCCTTAGGTGTAACGAAATTGATAATTTATGGTTCTCTAAGAGGTACAACAAAGAATTTCTCTATGTTGCTTGGATTCATCTATTTTTCTTATGCTCGTTTGAGATTTGTCATTCATGAAACCGTTCTTCAAGCTGAATAAAGCAAGTTACTGCCACAGTACAATAATTTCTTGAGAACTGATATCTATCTGTTATCTGTACAGTTTTTTTCTCGAAACAACTCATTATTGTTTTAGCTCTTTTGTGCCACAAGTGCTGCGATTTCCTGTCGGTATATTGGGGCAAGGGATTTCTGCATGCGCTTACCCGTTTATCATGTTCTTGCCAACGAAGGTGACGAGTTCGTGTTTCTCTGATTACATTTGACGGAAATTTGATAGTCATAGCCTATTTTAATCATCTCTATAGTTCTTTGCGTAGTAGGCTATCAGAACTACTGTTTGCTGCTAGTTTGTGCAATTATTTTTTAGGTTGCTGGTACTTGGTTTGCAGATAATGAGCGCACATTAGCCACTACTATAGGTGTTATGGCGAATCCTTTGGGAGTATTAATGGCAAATCTTCTTTCTCCTCAGATTGTGAATAGCTACAACGATGTATGTTAATTATGAAAATTTCAAAGAGCTTGCTAAATTTTATTTTTTGAAGTTTTTAAAGTAATTTTATGACTTTTTATAACACAAGTTTTTTGTTGCATTTGAAAGATTTTTTGAAAATTCACCAAGTTTTTTTGAAGGTACTAATGTTTAAAATTTCTTCACTGCAATTTTTTCATTTTGTTAAGCTTTGTAAAAATTGACATTGTTCAATGCGAAATTTCTTTACTATCTTTTTGTTATATTTTTCCAATTTTGCTTAGAAGTGTTTCATGTGAGTTGTGGGCAAATTATTTTTACTTCATTCATGAAGAATAGACTTCAGGTTCCTAAAATGAATGCGATTGTTATGTTTCCAGCTATAATTACTTGCTTACTGGTCACTTTTGGAGTCAATAGTTCAAAACCAAAAACACCGCCTACTCTCAGTGCCGCTGTTACTCAGACAGATTTTCTTACGGGTACTGTTATGCCAGAAGCATTGTTTTAAGAAGAAGTTCTAGTTCATTGCATACCCACCTTCTTAAGTTTATATTACTCAGGATTCTTTACTTTGCTTCTACTTGACTTATGAAGACCGAAAAGTGATTTTAGGAATAAAAGACTGCTATTCTAACAAAGCATATGTAATCTTGGCAATAACGCTTGGAGGAGGGATAGGCATGTTTAACTGTCTTTATACTGTAATACAACAACTGCTTTGTCCATCTGGCTATACGAATGCTTTTTCTGGACTTTGCGCTTCGTTAATGATTGTGGGAGGGTTAATAGGGGCAACTGCAGCAGGTAATTAATTTTTCTTGTTTAAGTCTTTAAGGTTTAGCTGTACCTGTATTTATAATACCGCTTAAGAATTTTTGCTGTTTCTTTCTTGTTTTTTATCTTATGTGGCAGCTTTTTTGATAAAAAGTACTTTCTGATTTTAGGTCTTTTTGTGGACAGAACGAAGCTTTATGAAGAAACCTTGAAAGTCTCTTATGCTTTTGCTGTGATTTCTGGTTTGTTGTTTCTGCAGGTAACGTTTTCGCTGTTTTGCATGACAGTTATTTGACATGTCGTATTTGGTTTTGGATTTGTCTCTGTACAACGTTACTGATAATTGCTACTTATTCCAGTTAACGCTTCGCACAGAGCTTGAATACGCAACTTATATTGCCTCCTTTCTGTTTGGCGTCTTTGGTCTCGCGGCGTATCCTGTGGGACTAGAACTTTCAGCTGAGTGCACATTCCCAGTGCCGGAGAATCTCTCTACTGGTTTTATAGTTATTGTCGGCCAAGTAAGCCCTTTCATAATAACTTTTCTTCGCAATTTGATAATAAACTTTTTTTGCAAAGAATTCCTCATTTAATTTTGTTATTATTTTAATGGGAAATGTTATTTTAAAATAGGTTGAGAAATTTATTTATTCTTCTCTAAATACCTTACTTTTCTGTTTGCTTACTTTTACGTCTTATCTTTTATTTACTTCGAACTTATGTTACTCCAGAGCACAGTACTCTGTGGCTGTTTCCAGTTTTTTCCTGTAAAATTTTTTAGTTACTTTATGTTAATCATATTTATAGATCCAGTCGTTTTTGTACGTCGCTTTGATCAACTTCGCAAGTAAACCTTTATCTGATGAGCGTAAGTATATACAAAAATGTTCGACATCAGAAGATGACACTCTGTCTTCCGCCAAAGACAACACAAATTCTGTGCTGGTAAGTAAATGTTTTTTCCAGTAGGAATGGTGAGGGGAGCGTGTAAATGTCTTTCTATCGAAAGCTTAGGTCTAAAAATCTGGAATTCTAGAACTGTAACACGTTTTCTTTTTCTCTCTTTTAATGATGTTTATGTTGTCTCACAATCGATATTTCAATTTTCATGTTACTTTTGATCCACGTTGGAAAAAAGTTTTATTTCTTACTTTTTAGGCCTTTTCCGCTGTAGCTGCTTTGTTGGCTTTACTATTGATACTTGTTTTTCGGCCAAAGCTGAAGAGGTTGCAAACTGAAAGGAAACCTGTTCAAGAAGAACAAGTTTTATCAGCTGAAAATTGTGGTCCAGAGGGGGATGTGGGTAAGGATGTAGAGCTATCAAGTGGTGGCCTGTAACTGAGCGTTAGCGTGATCTCAGCGTTAAATATTAACATTATTAAAATTTGCAGTAGTTTAAAAATTTGCTCGTGTTTTGTTTGTCTGTACCATAATAATTTTTGATACTGCAAGGAAGTAGTATATTCAAGTTTGCTAGAAACAGAGTATAAACTATGTTAATGAAGTTTACTGTTGAATATTCATAATAAGGATTATTGTAAAAAGATAACAGTAATAATAGTAATAGTAATGAAGCAGCACTTTAATGTGTCTTATTGTTATTTTTGTATATGAGAATTTGATATACTGATGAAATTTGCCAACTTGTTATAATTAAGACTATACATTAACGTTGCAATAATAAGTTGTTTACAGTATTTGTAAGTGTTTATTTCTTAGCATATTGTTCACGCAGATGCAATTTTTCTTGCGGGGTATTACTGTATGTTATAATTGTTTATTGTAGCTTCTTGCATTGCTCGTATTTTGCGATGTCATGATGTTTTCTGTATTTGTATTGTTCTGATTCTTTTTTTTTCTTAGATAGCTAATTCTAATTTAGTGTTGCTTTTAATGATTCTTACTGTGATGAGCTTACAATGGAAATTTGTTAAGGATTTTATACGTGCAAATACATGAAACAAAGCTGTAGACTTTGTGCAGTGGAAGAGGATTAGGGAAGGGAAGTTTGATGGTTACTGTTTTTACTGACTGACCAATATCGAAAACGTGCTAGATAATGAAGACTATTATGGTAAGACTAAATTTTACAAAATCTCGACATGCTGGTATTCATTTATTTATTGATCTAAGCATACAGCCAGATCTAAGCATGGTAATTTTTGGCTTTTTTTTGCTGCTATGGTGGTGGTCGTTATTGAAGCCGAAAGTTTTCAGTTGCTTAAGAATTAGTTGAAGTAGGAAAAAACACATTGACTGCCGACTTTCTAGAAGAGCAGGTGTTATCCTTTGCTGCAGTTACATCGCATCTCTTTTTTGGAATACTTCATCTGCTTATTTTGGTTCTCTGGTAACATATCGGTGTTGGATTTTATATCTTTTGTGGTGACGTTTCGGTTTTGGAACTTACGGGTCATTTCTTCGATATTACACATTTGTGCTGTCAGGTGTTGCTGTAGTGCAGTATGTGTATTCTGTATTTCCTCGATCCTGCATGTTTGCTTTTCATCTTGAAGCTATAATATAGTAGCCAAATACAGTAGATAGGAGTTAGTTGACTTAGACTAGATTTAGTTGGAACTAAAAGCTGTATATATTAGACAATCTATTGAGCATATACTAAACTGATACTCTAGCAGTTTCATCAGTTTTATACTAATATAGCTTAACCGCACCCTCCAAGCAGATGCCATGACTCATATTTTTAACGCTGTTTTCTTCTTACTTGTTTTTTCCCCCTTTTTCGTTTGATCAGCTTTTAAGACTTTTCCTTTGTTTTTTCTTCTTTTTTTTTTTTTTTTT